GACTACCACCGTCGACCACCACCACCACCACCACCACCGACTACAACCGCCGACCACCACCACCACCACCACCGACTACCACCGGTCTGAACCACCGCCGACCACCACCACCATCGACTACCACCGATCTGAACCACCGTCGACCACCACCGATCTGAACCATCGATCTGAACCACCGCCGACCACCATTGATCTAAACCATCGCCGACCACCACCACCGACTACCACCAATCTGAACCACCGTCGATCTGAGCCACCACTGATTTGATTCACCATCAATCTAAACCATCGCCGATAACCGTCATCTGAACCACCATTGACCACCACCGATCTAAACCATGCTGACCACCACCACCGACTACCACCGATCTGAATCATCGTTGGACACCGCCGACCACCATCGATTTAAGCAACCACTGCCTATCTGAACCACCGCTGACCACCTCCATCTGAACCACTACGGACCACCATCGATCTGAATCACTACGGACCACCACCATCTGAACCACTTGGACCACCACCGATGAGAACCATCGTCGACCACCGTTGATTTAGCTTATGATTATATTTGGGTTGTGCATATTAAATAATTATTTTATGGAAGTATTTTTAGTTTTAAAAAAATTAAAATTGTCAAAAAAGGGCATTTTGGTCATTTAGCAAAATTTTATTCCAATTCTAAAGCTACATTCTGTGAACCAAACAGAAAGATTCCAATTCCTTAACAGATTCCATTCCAAAGTCTGCCAACCAAACAGGTGGTCAAACCTGACAACATTCCATTCCAATTCCTTCAAAGTCAAATTCCTTTAACAGATTTCATTCCATCCAAAAACATTCTGCGAACCAAACGCCACCTTATGGTTGGGTAAATGAATTACAACTTATCACCGACTTTATTTGTTTAAAAGTCTTGATGAATCCCTACACCCTTGGTCCTTTTAAAGAATTAGTTTTTCATCAAGTAGTTATTAAAAACCCACTCAAAAACATTTATTTGAAATTTTCATTTGAAATCATCTATTTCACTAGACTTTTATTTAAACTTTTACTCATTTTCTTGTGAATCGATATCCAGTATTTAAATGTTTTATTACATGTAGAAGACAACAATGGATTGATCAGCATATACTTGCACGAGTCTCCATTTACTAATAGTCCTAGAGATATATTTATATAATTTGTTTTAATCTTAATAATATAATTAAATTAATATGGTTTTAATAATTTAATAATCACAAATATTATTTTTAATATTTTTAACCTTGAAAATATAATTAAGTTTATAACATCAAAAATACATATTTTAGGTAATACATTATTAACTAATTGATATAATAAAGATATAAAATAAAAAATATAAAAATAAGAAAAGTAACAGAGAAATATTAAAAAGGTTAAAAATAATAAATTAGAAAACCAAAACTTTAAAAAATCCATTAAAAGGTAAACAAAATGAAAGTTAAAGGGTGGAAGGTGTAACTTACGCGAAAGTGACATACGAATTCTCCAAGTCGTCGTAGAAAACTAACCCATTCAACCTCCTCTTTTCTCTCTCCCTCTCAAAATTCGGGATATTGAGAGAGGGCACCTCTTTCAATCCATCTCATCAGATAATACATACAATCAGAATCAATTCATCTTCAGAAGTTAAAGTAAAACATGGATCAGCTTATGGGCAAGTTCGGAAGCTACTGGCTAGGTAACAAAGCCAACAAAGAACTCAATTCCGTCGGTGATGATATCAACGTAAGTCTTTAGCCGTCTGATTTTACCGTCAATTGTAAAGTTTAATTTCAATTTTATCATGTGATCTATGTGAAATATGAAGTAGTACTGAATCTATCTGTCAATTGGTCAATTTTACTGCGTTAGGTTACAATTTTGTTAAGAATTGGGGGTGGGTTGTTGGATGTTGACTCGGATGCATGATTGTGTATAATTTTGACGGTAACTGTCTATTGGCCAATTTTATAGCTTTAGGTTGCAATTTTGTTTAGAATTCGGGGTGGCAGTTGGATGTTGACTCTGATGCATGATTGTGTGTAATTTTGATGAGAGGTTGTGATTCATGCTTTAAGGATAGATCTTTGATGATCTAATTAGCATCTTCTTGAATTTACTCATTTTGGGTTTACGGAAGCAGATAGTCTCTTGGGTTTGGGAAAATGGACAAACTGTTGGCCTTTGAGGACAAGCAAGTTGACTCTCTGCCCTCAAAGTTCGTGTGATTGTGAATTTGGTTTCAAGTTAGGTTGCAATATAGATAAGAGAATGTTGGTGTTGAAGTTACAATAAAATCCCTAGCAATTGTGGATTTTGAGGAAAAAACTAGATCTTGAAACAAAACTTGTATATCATTTCTTAGATTGAGGGGATAATATGCTTACATTCTAAAATTCACCAATATCATCCATAGATCAGCCATAGGATATTAACTTTATACAAGGAAACTAAGATGGACAGTGACTATAGTATGAATTTTCAGCAACAATCACCTGATTTTTTTTGTTTAAAGCACCAGGAACAACTATTTTATGCAGGAATTTAGTGAATTGCTGATAATCTTTTGCAACAGTCCCTGACTTGTTCATGAGCTCTTTAGATGACAAGGTAACAAGCTCCATAATAGCATATATAAGTAGTAAATAAATATGACTATTTTGCACCAAGAATACTTCTATAGATGTACATGTTGTGCAACTGGAGTGTTAAGGTCCTATCCCTTTTGACCATGTGATATATTCGTTGGGTGGGTCTAATAAAGATGTAACTTCATCCTGGAAATGAAGATGAGACACATATAATGATGATTGGGAAATGGTAGGATTTGTATGAACAAATTGAACTGAAATTTTCTTGTCTAGGGAAAAGAATGTCTTGAGAACACTTCTGGAGATGGCGATTGGAAATTAATTGAATTGTATGAACAAAGTGAACTGAAATTATCATGTCGTGGTAAACAAATGTCATGACAACACTTTCGAGATGGCTTTCTAATTTGCAAAAGAAAATGCTATATTTTTTTATCACCATAAGCTGCTTTTGGTTGCAGGTAATAATCTTTATCTCTTAGTTGTAATTTACTGAAGGTGGAGGTGCACTTGATAATAAAATATGTTTCGGGATCCACTAGCACTACAATTGAAAGCCGTCAAGTTCACAGACAAAAGTCATGATATTCACGATCTTTATTCATCTTCGTTAATTCTCTCCACTCTCTCAATGTGTTCTCGATCCTCCGCTCATCTCAACTCAAATTTTCTCTTAAAGTCTCACAAGACTTATTGACAACCATATCTTGAAATAGTCGCATCTCTTGCATTAATATATTGTTTGAGTGTGTCCAATCGACAAGGCAATTTCATCTGTTTGACAGCATCTAAACACCAAAAGAAAATTTAGGGTTTTTATGTAGGACTTATTGTTTTGTTTTTCATTGACTAATAGCTTAACCATTTATCAAAAGTAATACTTTTCTAGTCCTATTTAATGATTTAGCATGTTTTGAGAACTTGTATTTTTATCCGTTTTTTTGTCTCCAATGTTTTAAGAACTTGTGAAAGTTGATGTTCTTAAAGAGACATCATTATCTTTTTTTACATGGGTTCCACTCTTTCAGAATAGTTATGTGTACTTTTAGATTGGTCACTTGATCAATATAGTATCAATGTGTTTGCCTCATTAAGAAAATTAATGTGTATATATTTATTTTATTATGTGTTTACATTTAAGGTTCACCTAGATCAAAATTCTAGGTCCGTCCTGGAGGCAGTTCTGGGTAAAGTTTTATCAACAGAAACGTTGTAAAATCAGGGAGAATGTATATAGTTTGCTAGTGTTGAGGTGATTTTTATTTCTTCCTTTGGTACTATTGGTTAACTACAAGTTATTTCTCATAATTTATCTGTAATAATTTTATCGTTTACATTATGTTACTCTGTATCAGCAATTGGCAATCTTTTTAGTAATATATAATTCTTGCCTCTTTTTCTATTTCTTAGAGTTTGCAAAGCAGTATTTCTGGGGGAGCAACCTGGTTGGTCAACAAAATGAAAGGTTTGTCTTGCTTTTCTGCGTCGTGACATGCAACTTAATTTTTTTTTTGTAGGCAACTTGTTTTAAGTGGAGTTCAATTTACATTGCAACAAATACAAAATTTTGAAGTTACAAGAATAACCATCTGTAGACTGTTTACGTGTGATAGTAGGTTGTCTAGAGCTGTTTTATTTCTGAGATTCAATTTTCATAATTGGATGTTCCAGCTGAATGACATCAATTGATAACAATTTTTACTCAGTCATATTTTTCGAAAAGGGAGGAGGGAGGAGGTCATGTGGGGGTATGCGCCTATGGATAGTGATATCTTTAATAAGCTGAGGATTATTTGCTTGAACTCAAGCTAGAAAATAATGAGCTCTAGCTGCGCTTTAAGGAAGGTTACTCTGAATTCAAACGCAAGAAGCTCATGAATGTTCGTGGGACAATTCAAGCTGAGCTTTATTGGCTCTCAAAAATGAACATAAAACAGGCTGAAAATGAGCCCCTGTTAAGTATGTCCCAGCTGTGATTCTGCCAAATTTGTTTCATGATACTGTGATTCAGCATTAAATATGTTGCTATTTTCCCCAACTTTGTCAACTCTGAAAGCTTATGACTCAACTATTTTCATTGAACCATGATCATTTTAGGGGAGTAAATTGTCGCCGTACTAGTTTTCATAAGCAGTCACTAACATCTTGCATGAAACAGTTGTAACATGTGAAAAGAATATTTTCTACAACATATACATCAAGTGTCGGTTAGGTTACTGAAAATTTGTGCAATGATTACTTTATGTATTTTTGCATATTTAGTTTACCCTTTGTATCTTGAATATTTACAAAAACTGCATTAGAATTTGCATCATTAAAGATTCCTCCCTGGATCCTTGTTAATGTAGGCTGGGATAAAGGGAGTACAAGTGGCTAATGCATAGATAGTACAAGTAGTTAATGCAGGGTAGTAATAAGTTGGTGTATTGCTATAAAGAAGGGAGTGGAGGTTCAAGAGGGGATTCTGTTTCGTGTGTTCTGTTCAGGCGAGAGCCTGGCAGAGCTTCAATCTCTAGGTGATATCTCCCATTGTTGTCACAGAATGCTCCATGGCAGCACCACCGTGAGATTCTTTTCAACAACATCCATGTTTTAGGTAGCTGATGGTGGATCACGATTTTTATTTTGTTTATAGACATAGTACCGATGATGAGCCTATTAAAGTCATAATTAATTTCACTTGATGTTCCGCTAGGTACTGTTGGAATAAGTCCCATGGTGAATCAGTTCACACCCAACACGGTAAGGCAAACACTGAAAAAATACGAGCAATATGAGGCTAAATTTTCTTGTCTTTATTCCTTGGAAACTGAATTACAGAGAAGAAAACTTCTATCTAGTGCTTACAAAAACTTGAATGAAAAAGCATATAAATACTAGGAAAAAACATGGAATAAACTACCCATTTTCTCCTAAACTCGTGGCACCCAAACTGCCGATTATCTCCACCATACTCGGTCAACCAGGGACCAAGTCAGTGTTAACAATCAACACTCTCCCCCTTTACCTCTGACTTGTCTTATTCAAATCTTTGACGCCCAAAAGGTTTCGCATCTCCATGAACTTCACTCGTGGTAGTGCTTTGGTTAGTATGTCAGCTTTCTGCTCTTCTCCAGTGATGTGCTCCGCATGAATCAAATCCTTTTCAACACACTTGCGAATAAAGTGATAGCGAGTATCAATATGTTTGCTCCTCCCATGGAACACGGGGTTTTTCATTAATTCGATTGCAGCTTTGTTATCCAC